TTGACATCAAATGTGCCAACTCCACCATCCCCTTTAAAAAAAAAATAATTTACTTTGTCAAAAAAACTGTTTTCATTATTCTCCCCTTATCAAAAAATCACCTTATAACTTGAACCCGCATACACAGTGGTCCAGTGCTGGGCTGTTTCTCTGTATATTCCGTTATTCTCCTAAATTCAGAATAAACTTTATCAATTTTTATAAAGTTAAAAAAGATGGTAAAACATCCCAGTAGGAAACATTACAAATCAAAAACAAAAATCTTATTTTTGAAACAAAAATGATAAGTTTTTCTATTCCCTGGTATTGCCGAGCAACCACTGCATCCTAAAATAAAATATATTACTAATAAATGTTTCAATCATAATTTTTGAAAATTAAACTTTGTTCATTACTGTACTGTACTGTACTGTACTGTACTGTACTGTACTGTACTGTACTGTACTGTACTGTACTGTACTGTACTGTACTGTACTGCACTGCACTGCACTGCACTGCACTGCACTGCACTGCACTGCACTGCACTGCACTGCACTTCACTGTTACTTATTGTTCTTCATCATACATTATGTAGGTCTATGCACTATTGTTAATAATAATGATAACAATTTAAAATTTCCGTTAACAATAATAAAAATGATGAGGATAATCAGGATGATAACAATATAAACAATAACAATAATGATAATAATAATTTTAACAATGATACCAATGATATCAATAAGGATGACAAACATGACAAAACAATGATAACAATGATAATAATAATACCTGTGGATCGCTTGGTTCTGGTGCAGCTAGTAAAGCTTGAATACTTAACAAAACCGTTCTAAAACAATAATCAATTTTTAAACCAAGTTATTATCTAATCAATTTTTTAATAAGTGGTCTTGGACGCGGGACGTTCTGGCTGTTGGGTTCGCCAGGCTTATTCTGGGTGCTTTTTTGCCTTCAAGTGACTGTAACCGTAGTTTCAAATGACCATTCATGCCATTCATTATTTATAATTTTGAAAAATGATTATTTTCATTTTTGGTTTTTTTTTTTACAATTTGACTTAGCGTTTCTACGACAGGAAAACATATATAAATTATCAGAATCCAACACTCAAACCTAGAAATATAATCGTAGAAAAAAGGCGATATCTTCCACATTATTGATCAAATAAACGTTTCCAGTGTACCATTGTGAAACGGGCATTACCATTTTTGTATTGAGGGTCACTTGACATTACGTTAACAGTCCCTTTAAGTGGCATGTCAGATTCATTACAGGACCCTTTCAGGCTTTTTAACTGAGTAACAATGCGATATCGTCCTTTTCATGCATTAGTGTTGAATTCTGACAAGCACCTTCTTTGTTTCTGCTGTATAACTGTTTAAATCCAAAATCACATTATAAGAGAAAACGCAATTTGAAATAATGAATTTTTTGCTTTAAATAAGGCTATTCCTTCTATCAAATTTTACTGTTGTGAATCTGACATTCCATTCTATAAATGGAGGGTACCTTGATATTACGTGACTTTATAATCTTTAACGTCTATTTTGTCTGCCAACGCCGGATTTTGTTCGGAAAACAGCTCCTTTTATTGCAGTTTTAATTTGAAGTGTTAGTCCACAGCAACAAGTCGAATAAAAATAAATAATAATTATAATAATTAATAATTTTTTGTTACTAATAATCCAAGTGGCAAAATTCAACCCTAAAGATAACTATTTGTCTCAACCCACAATTTTGTGTCGACATATTAAATATCATTGAAACCTTTTAAGTCATTACGGGGTATAATCAAGTTTTTTCGTCATAAAATGAGCAAAAAAAAAAAACATTTGGCGGAAAAAATTATCAAAACGTCCAAGAAATATTCATGAGCTGGATTCTTATCAAATGAAAAAGATTGTTGGGAAAAATATATATTTCTCGGCCCACCTGAGCGTCATTGCTGCGGCCCACTGGTCCTTAAGTATATCCAGACAGATGGCTCCAGTTACACTGGAAATATTGGGATGCCAGATCTTAGTGATAAAACGGACCTAGATAGATATGTTTTTAAAATAAAACAATTCGAACATTTTCATATGTTTGAATATGAGATTAACATCTAAATAGCTGATAAAAAAAATATATTTTTTATATCTTTAACACGAGAAGACATAAATGTATTTCCCCCCCACCCCCTTTTGAAAATTATATTTCTAAGGCATTATTTTTCTAAGGCTTTATTCGCTGAATTGAAGAGAATAAATATAATTTTGGGATAAGAATATAAAAATGAAGGAAAAAACTAGCGCATTATTTATATTATTTTTTCCCCCATACCATCCAAAATTCTTCCCCCCCCCC